GTCGGCCGATCGATCGATTGCCGGAGCCACCCGCCACCATGCCACGCTGCTACATGGTGAAGAAGGCATGCAACAAGTATCAGACACCGGCAAGAGACAGTTGGGGCGTTGGAGCGTCGCGCGACGGCGAAGCACTGACATCCGCGGCAGCGTCAACAGCAACAGCCTCTACGACAGCCACCGCTGCAGCAACGGCCACGACAGCAGCAGCCGCCGCCGCCGCCGCCGCCGCTGCAGCAGGAACCATCGGCGACCCCCGCGAGGACTCCCCGTGCCCTGTCAGCCCTACGGAGGGCTGCGTGGCGCCTCCCAGCCCAGCCGACTTCTACCGACCTCTCACGACTGTCGCCCCTCATCAAAGTAAGTTTACGCTTTTCTATCTACGAATAAAACTACTTGTATTGCAAGCCTCCTTCTGTTTAAAGCGTTTTCATTATGAGATCATTAAATAATGCGTTTTCTCACTCGTCTTCATATTGAAAATGCTACGTATTTATTCTACCACTGAAGTATTCTGATATGTATGGAGAGATTTGAAATATAATTCATTCATACCTACTCTGTATAACAACTTTAAGTAAAGCGCCTTATAATTACAGCAGTAATAGGCATATGTTGCATCATACGGTCATCCCGTATTTTATCTACAATATTACTTACCAGAATGCTTGGAACTTCTAGCTCATCTCCAATTAAATAAAGTAACTGCCTCTTGGTAACTTTAATGTATTTTTACCAGTGAATCATCGGGAAAACATCCTTAAAACGTGTAAAATTAAACTATTGCTTTCCAATTATTTGAAAATATATGACTTACTCATCAGAAATTATGTCATTTTACCAAGTACGCAAAAATATTAAAAAAACATTTAAAGAAGTTTTTAGATACATTTTGCGACATTAATGGAAATGGGCGTGGATGCTTTTCTTTTAGAAAAAAAGTTGGAGAAAAGTCATAAACTGTCAGAACGTCACCCTTGATTTGAGAAATTTCATATTTTGTTTGTCCCAAAGACAACCTAAATTCATAAACTCTTATCATTATGATTATTCGTCTGTCTACGCACAGAGCTATGTTGCAAATAGTGGGAGATCACAAACAATTTGTGTTCTACCAATAAGAGCCTGCAGAATGTTTCTTTAAAGAAATTAATTGAAAACAGGAATGTTTAGGTATTGATGAAATCGTTCGCAAATACTTCTCAATTTTTAAAATTCAATTATATTCACCTTCCTCCAACACAAACTAAAACGTGTTTTTTACACTTTCCCCTTAAAATATTTTGAAACTCCTAAAAAATAGTCATTTCTCTACTTTAAAATTTTCCGTCAAGTAGAGGTTTTACGAATTAGGCCGGTTTCAACTTTTCTGGAGTAGTATTGTAAAAACTATTTACTGGAGTAGACCACTAAAACTACTCAATGTGATGCGCAAAATAAATAATGAAAACTTCTAGAGCTTGTATAGAAGACGAAAAGGATCACTTTTTGCCAATGAACATGTATTGGTAAATGCATTCAGCGGAGTTATAGGCATATGTACGCGTAATTTGCCCCTGATTGCTAGGCAACCCGGTGCGCATAGATGTTGGGCAAGTCCATGGAATCGCCTGACTTGGCGGCGACAAATCGGGACCTGCCGAACGTCTGTCCATAAGTAGTGGCCTAAAAGTCAGCGGAAAATATTATTTGTGTATCTTCATTAAATTAAATATCCCATTAGATGTTCATGAAGAAAGTGATCATTTTTTAATTCTCTTCATGCCCTAGAATTGTTTTTAACTTTTGTGCTGACACAAATACGGTATGATGAGAGTCATTTCATGCAGTAAGAAACATGCAGGCGTGTTTCTTATAACATTAACAATAAATAATCCCTTCATAGTTTCGAACTCGGAAGCATAATTCCCAAAGAAAGTACTTTTGTAATTTTCCAATTTTGACGCCGTCTGTACGTCACCGGAATTTAGTATGGATTCCCACGACTCGAAGCAGTGTTTGGGGCTCGGGAGGTCATTAACGTTATCGGAAATCAGCAAGTACACTGCAATTCTGACGACCGGGCCTCGGGCTAAGGTTCTGATTCCTAATGTCGGACGCGACATTAGGCACCAGGTCGCTGACAGGCATTACGTCGCAGGACGCTGTCGTATTATGCAACCCAATGGCTCAATTTTTAAATTTTCCTCGTTTGCATCCGAAGGGTAGATTTTTCTTCAGCAACTTCTACATCCTCAGCGCTTCTTATCACTTTAAGCTCAGCTATCTGGACATATTAGAAGAAGAGAAACCGCCAAGAAAAGGCTGTCCAGTTACAATGCTTTTCTCAGCGATATAACATAGGAAACATTTGTTCGTCTAAAATAAGAGAAGACGGACGTGTGTTTTTTACTGCATGAAATGACTCGGCCTACATGTACGTATGTATGTGTATATGTGGACACATGCTCTATTATTAATGGAACCTATGAAATTTTGAAACTTGCAATACATTAACTTTTTTTCAATTTCCTCTACCAACTATACTTTTGAAGATAAAAAAATTCTTAGTGAAATCTATTTTTCAAAGTTAGATGTTTAAATAATGTCATGAGCAATTATCACAAAATATGAGTAGTTTTCAGGCACTTTACTGTGAAATAAAAACAAATTGATGAAACAGTACGGATACAAGGTTTTCTAGAAAACGGCTCCAAATTCTTTACATTTTTTGCTCAAATAGAGAAAATTTACCAGAGCTTATAGTTGTGGTCTGAGGCGATAGTTAATAACTTATAATTACCTGATTTCGATTCCCGGCAATGTCAAGAAGTTTTTTTAATGCTTTCCTCCAGGAGAGTAAACTACGCTCATAAATATGATATATTAGTTTTCTTGTTTAATTTTTTCTTTGAGACATTAAAGACCGACCAAATATTTAATTGAACTGCTCTTTATATTTGTTTGGAAACTGGATATATTTGGAAATATGTTCTTTTACGAATTTTCAATAATTTTTTAAAAATCTTATAAATCTCATCAATAATTTAGAATGAAAAGTCTTCTTTATACAACACAAATTGTTATAGATTGTTCTTTGCGTCCAATTCTTTGGAACCCATTTTTCTTAATTTTCAAAAATAAAAAGGGTCTGTTGTGCTTTGAAATGTATGCAAACATGTTTATACACGTTTCCGATGTACAACGAAGTTTTACATTGAAAACAATTAGAAGAAAACTAGTGGTACAACAACTACTTTCTTGTTTTATTTCCAATTTTTGTAATTTTCGAAAGCTCAGTCAGTTCAACGAAGACGATACTTGCGACATTCTTTTAACTCTACATTGTTCTATTAGTGGAAAAAGATTAAAGGAAAAAATGAGCGATTTTTAGGAATTATTTTTATAATACATATTAACTTCAAGCAAAAATAGCGCGAAAACTATTGGATTTTTTAAGAACTTAAACATGACCTTGTTTAAAGAGCTGATCATTTACAACATATTTTGTTTATGACAACGCACCACGCAGTACCACATATTTTTACAGTCCTTTGATACATACGAGGAGAAAATTTAATGACAAAATTTGAAGCCGGTTTTCGTTAAAATATTGTTTAAAAATTGCTTATATTTTATTCAAAACTACGCGAAAACTACTCCAATTTTCTAAAAAGTTAACATGACCGTATTTCAAGATCCGTCTTAAAGAACAGATTTCATTAAGGGGAGAATCTCTATCTTCAATTTCGTAGTTGTAGGAAACCGCTGAAAAAAAATTGAAGAAATACAATTTTCGAAAAAGGAATTCTAGGTATTCAACGAAAATGCGACTTATGCCATTCCTTTAAACATTCTTAACACTATCAAAGGACAGAGTTTAATCAAACAGTTGGAATCCATTTTTGAGAAAATTTTGAAAATGTTGAAGCATCACGTAAAATACTCTTATAAATTAAAATATTCATTTCAAACTCGCAGGACCTTGAGTACTTTTAAATCAATCACGGAATATCAATTTTGGAGGAAATTGGCTGAACCTAAGTGCTGGCGTTGACTCGAGACAAACTGGCAGACATTCGTTTTGCCGTCAATCGATTTTTCGGTATCAAAGATGACAAAATATTTCGATAACAAAAATATGCATTCAAACTCCACAACGTGTTGGAGGAAGTAATTTACTAAATAGAAACAAAATTTATCCACTTTTTCATGGCCAGAGCCCGGGAATAAGAGTTTTTCTGTCGAAAACTCGCCGTTTACCAGCGCATGATTACAATACTTTTCTTCTCACGAAGTCAGTGGGAGAAAGTCAAAAGGACGAATTAATATTATTATTCTGTATGCTAAGGACAGAAGACTGTTTTTGGCAATTTATAATGCACCATCGACAAAAAAATCCTTGTAATTTCCGTGTTCCCAATTGCTGGATGCGGAATTAAACCCATTACTGTATTCAACATATTTAAAACGAAAGAATAAGATTGAATATTATGCATACATACCAAACAGATTATTGCAACACACAGAATCGTGCATAACCAAGGCCGTATTTGGGTGTTGCGGGGCTCCCAAGTTCAAAATCGTGTCGCCTCACCGGAAACAATACCCCAGATTTTCTATTAAACAATAACTAAAATAGAATACCTTTTTGTACAAATACACATAAAAATATATTCTATATTTTACTAATGCAAAAATTTTATGAAAATGTTTCGAATATTTTATGATATTTTTCCTGGTCGCGGGCCATGAGTAATTGACTATTTTGCTTATGAATAAATAGTACCCTGTGTTTAATCTGGAGACGATGCGCCTTAGGCCCTTAAAACCAGTTGCTTTCGTTGTTTTTGTGTCCCTTGGCGCAGAGCTTTCAGAAGTCAGTGTGCTCTTCGTGAGGGTCATGAATTTTGAGGTGGAGGACAGGTGGACAGATGGGGAAGTGGCATGAGACAGAGTGGCGGAGGACAGGTGGGAGATTTGGGGAAATAAAGGGTGCAGGAGGGGACAGATGGAGTGTAGGTGGATCCTAAATTAGGTATCTGAACAGTATGATACAAAATAAGATATTTTTGAACTTTCTATTACATTTTCGGAGAATTTGTTGCTGTGGGTGCCCCCTCTCTACAGCGTGGGTGATCAGAAGAGTGCAGAAACCCGACATCTACGTAAAAACAAATTCAAGTAAAAAGACAGAAATAATCTTTCGTAATAAAATTAAAGGGACTAAGTGAATTTCTGTGAAATTTAATTTCAGTACTTAGCAATATTAGAATGGTTACTCCCATACAGTACCTGGCCCGTAATGCTGTGTCGCAGAGTTCAAGGACTGGCCGTTTGAATTTGGGTTACACTATGAAGCTATTTTCACCTTTGAAACA